GGAGCGGGAAAGAAGCCGGATTTGAGTTTAGGTGACCAGGTTTATCTCGAGGTTGAGGAAAGTGTAAAGTTTAAGGATTAAAAGAAATTTAATGAAAGAATTTGACTGGAATATATGTCGCTGGGGAAATGTGGCATATATGCTTGGTAAATATTATTTTAACACTGAATTTCTAAGAGTGTATGTTCATAAATATGCACATGCCAATTTATTTCTTAGTTGCGTACTAAATTTCCGAAAACTTTTATCTAGAGATTAGCATTTATTCAAAGGACATTGGTATGAATTTTCGCAGAATTACATATAATTCATGCATACGTATTAATGTATTATCCACAAGTTTATCTTGAATCCACTAATTTTTTTCATTCAGTCTTTTCCTTTGAGCAAAATCTTAAGCATGTTTACCGACGCGTTTGTCCCTCTGTCCCCACGATTCCGCGGCCACTGAATTTGTGTGGCCTGCAGGTACACAAGATCATGGATTGTTGGGGTAGGCTATTTTTCACGTAAGGGTTGACAATATTGGGCAAGAAGGTGAATACGGATTGAAGCTGAGGCTTCAATTTGGAATAAAAAGGGACAAACCACATTCCAGATTTATCCATCTGTACTATGACGGTGCACTGTTAGTAATCTGGTACATAGATATATTGATTTCTCGGTATTAAGGTTGCAACCGCTTGGTATAAACATACATAGGTATTACACCCATCCGTATGTAATAATACCGATACGGAAAACTTTAAAACCGACCTATTAATTACTACACATTATTACTTCTCAATACCACTTTTGTAGAGTCATGTCCGAATACCGTTTATTGTTATATTAATACTGGATTTCCAAGTCTGTATATATGTATTTTCCAAGCTTTTTATTGGCGAAGTGTTTATTGAGTATTGTGTAAAAATAATTATGTACGTGCATATATCTACGAATCAAGGTCTTCCAGCCTACACTCTCAGATTTGTACAAAATTAATGTCATTCGAGCACAAATTTAATTAATTAGTGAATGAAGTATACACATACATATTATATAAATAAATATATTCTGCCACCCAAATATATTTTTGTCTACTGGAGGAAATGCAGTAACGCCTTATTTAGAGTGACGAATTAATGTCGTTTTAATTTCTGTTTAATTTATTTTTCACTAAGACATCAATTTATAGTAAATTCCTTTAATTTTTATTTCGTTAAAAATTAATGCTAACTACATATGTCAACAATTCCGTTTTAATTTATGTTTTGTTAATTTATAGTGCAATTCACGTTGCTTTCGTTTCTGTTTTGCTTCATTTTGCAAAGTTGACATGCAATCAACTTTTTTCGAGTGAAAATAAAAGGGTTAAATTTAACGCCCCACTTATTAAGCTGAAATTTGTCAAATTTGCCAAAATTTGCTTAATAAGATGAGACCTCCCACCGGCTGAATTTTGCCCTACTTATGATTTCAGAACCACTTATTTAGCTAGTGGTTGACACTTAATTAGCTTAAGCCCCACTTGAACCAAAATACACAAATCTTAAGCATATTATGGGATTGCCACGAAGGCTTTGATTTTCAGCACCTTCTACATTTGCAAACCACCCAATAATATTCTTTGCAGCTTAAGTTTTCGACCGCAGTTGACAACGTATCAGCCTGGATTTTATATATTGCATACTAAAAAATGGCTTATTCTCAAGTTTTAAATTGGGACAATCAATGTGAACGTTTCGAGTCTGCAGAAGACGAAAACGCGCATCAACCAAAAAAGTTGGAAGAATTGTAGAATGGAGCATGATCAAAAATTTTGAAAATCAGGCTGAAGCTGAAGCATTCCTGAAAGAGTCCAAGGAATGAATTTATCAATGAAAAATCTCACAGAATAAGGAACAATTATACGCTATCTCTGTTCCAATTCCAAAACTTGTATTGCAAAAGCAAAACGACGATTACTTTTGAAAGCAGAAACACTAATAGCTATTAGCATTAGAATATTCATTATTATTCATGGATATCTCTAATCGCTAATAGTGGAACTCCGTAGAACGGTTGGCGAACATGACCATATTGTCAAAACTCGTAACGGTACACTTATTAACTTTGTATTTGATTTGTAAGGGTTTCGACGCAAATCCTAAGAATCAAATCATAGGAATTTTGAGGAGAGGAGTTAACAACTCAAGGCAACTCGATTTTAATTTCAAAAATTGAGTCAGACAAGAATATTTCACCCTACTGCCATCGCTGTCACAAGTGATTGTGATTTCTGACGCGTCTGAAGCCATTACAAGAGGAATTTAGGAAGTTTTTGGCCACAATTATAAGCGATCTTATTGCTGGTTCCGGTAATTGGGTACAATCCAAGCCTAGCAGTAGATTCCCAAAAGATGTGGAAGACAACAACGTTCGCGTTTATTTTATTTCTGCTTCTGGTCGACATCTTTCTGGAGATCATTTGACGTTGTAGTTCTATTATGCGTTTTTTGGGTAATGGGCCCCCTGGTTTTGCCGCTGTTTCATTTCGTACGTAAGTTCTTGTAGAACGCCCGACTAATCTCTACCCGAGAAAACGCTTCTACTTAATGTGTCTCGGTTGAAGTTAATAAGAGCCCTTTCTAATGTGAAATATAACGTATTATTATTCGTTGATGGAAATAATACACTTTCAGAGGTCGTATTGTTAAATGACAAACAAACTACTACTTTATTAAACAATTTTACTGGCTAATTGTCAACCCAAAAATAACTACTTTCACGACTTAAAATTCCCCTTCACTACTGCGTGTCTGCTTGGTAAGTAAAAAGAACGGCGTGCTCTCCATATACTTAACACACTAAAAAGAATAAAGAATAACCTCCAATCCAATCACACCGCTCCTTTCAAATCTGGGAATTTGAGACACTTTGTCTCCTTAACTTTTTACATAAAAATTCATACATACAGCTTTTAACAGTTCTCATGGTGGCGGGCGGATTTCAAATTCAAACAGGGGGCCCATTACCCAAAAAACGCATAATAGTTGTCGCAAGATTGTGGATGGTGAAATTCAGTCTTGCCGATTAGACTCAATCGTCTTGCACCTGCCCGATTTTCGTAAAAAAGCAATGGAAGCACATCTTGGGGATTGCAGTTCAAGAGAAAATTTATGAACTTCGTCCTGAAGCTAAAACAGTACTCTTGGGCCAAAAGCGCTAAAGGGAAAGCGTTGCCAGAGCTCGAAAAGCTTTAATTGTTATGTAATATTTGGTTGTAATTTGATGTTCCATGAATGTTTTATCAATAGTAAAATGTTGTATGTACCTTGGACAAAATTTTCGAATACTTTAGTTTAAGTAGAACCTAATCTAATTAAGTGTCAACCACTAGCTAATTTAGTGGGTCTGAAATCATAAGTAGGGCAAAATTCAGCCGGTGGGAGGTCTCATCTTATTAAGTGGTAAATTTCAGCTTAATAAGTGGGGCGTTAAATTTAACCCAAAATAAAATTATTTTTTAAATATTCACTTTTTACTATAAATCGGTATGGTGAAAAGTAAACCAAAAAGAAAGTAAAAATTCAAGAAAACCAAACAGAAAATAATACTCTAAATAAGGCGTAATGGATAAGATTTGTAATGAAAATTGGCCTTCTGTACATATGTATATTGAAGTAACTGGCATTCATGAGTTGTCCCTTTAAGATAGAAAAAAATCCCAAAAACGAAATTCATAGTTTTGTAAATATGCATGTAGGTACAAAATGAGCCAAAAGTGCAAGTCTTTTTCGCATCGATTTCACCGAATTGCACATAAAAAATTACAAATTCAGTTTTGGGTGGGGGGATCAATATAGCATAGCTGTTTTTGAATTATATTCAACCACCCCTCCTTCAAAAATCGGGAAAAGAAATTGTCAAAAATGAGAAGGTCAATGTACACTCGGTACAAAAAGAAATACATACCAACTTGCATTTGACATTTGACTTCCCTCATGAGTATGGGCATTTTGATGCATCAAGACTTTCAAAATTCGAAAATTGGCGGTTTTTCGACCTACATATAAATCGTTAAAAAAGTGACCTTCAGACCTACATTTTCAGTGACCTTCAGACCTACATTTTCAGTGACCTTCAGACCTACATTTTTAGACCTACAAAAAGTGACCTACATTTTCAGCTTTTGTTGTCCGCTGCAAAATGACCGCTACCATGACTTTTTTGGGGTCAAAGTTTCTGAGGGAGGGAGCTAATATGGCAAGAGCCGTAGCAAGCTTATGAAAGCTTATGAAATAATGATGTAGATAATTGCAATTTTGGAAGTTATTAAAATAGCCTCACATCCCCCCAAATTTAAAACTGAATTTATAATGAAGATATCCATTCGAAAATTTTCGCAACGGAGCTTATCAGACTATTTAAATTTTTATGATAAGTAATTTTTTCCAAAATCGCCCCAAATTCAAAATTTAAACTTATCGGAATTTATAATGATGTTATCCATTCGAAAATTAGTGCTGAAGAGCTTATCAGAGTACTTATCAATTTTCAAGATAATCAAATTTCGTTTATCTAAATCGCCCAAAATTTGAAACTTTAGCTTATCATAATTTGTAATGATGGTACCCGTTCGAAAATTAGAGTTAAGGGGCTAATCATCGCAGTTATCAAGTTTTAAGATAAAGACACAAAATGAGACAGGATTCTCCTACGTCCCTGACGCGCGGTGGTCGTAGATACCCACCAGAATCCCAAACTGCTGGGGTGCTGCATAAACGATGTCACGGAAATCAATATGCTGACTTTGTTGAAGTTGATTAAGTTCAAAAAGGAACCATGTACGAACATACATCGTACATGCTACGATTCAACATTTTATCGTCAAGTGACAAAAGTTAAAAATACGTACCAGCATATTCATCCTCATCCACTGATGAATCTATTTATATTTATACATAGGTAAATAAAAAAGGGTTTATGTACATATTTACTTACTAGGGTCGCGTTTTCAACGCTGGTCTGCATTCCATCACAGTGCATCGTTAAGGCATTTCAAGCAGGCCCATTTTTGCTACCTGTTCTTCTCATATTCCTTTTTCCTTTAAATTTTGGAGTAATTTGCGTCACGCGAAACTACCGTTCGACAAATTAATCTAGAGATAACTAAGGTTTGTGATTTACTTAAATTAAAGAAAATTATGAACTTCAAGATTGTTATTTATTGTAAGATACATAACTACGTACGTAGAATCCTTGAGGATATTTAGCTGGCTTCCTTTGAAATGGATTTGAGCGGAAACCATGGCAACCCTCATCTCGCCGTCGTACTACCCGAGGTAAATAAACTAATCCTGAATATATGTATGTATATTTGCGTATGCGTTTATGTACACTGTTAGAAATCCAGTATAGTCACGCAAGTATTGATTTGTCGGTATTATTTTTAGCCCGAGTCAGGGCTTATGTACCCGTCTCGTCCGTCTGTCCGTCTGTCTGTCTGTCTTGCGATAACTGTCGTAAAACTAATCAGATTGACTTGAAATTTTGCACACGTATAGTATGGGTAAAATGAGGAGTTAAGTTCGAAGATGGGTGAAATCGGCCAAGTGGTTGACCCGTGGGGGTCATATAGGTGGGTGTGGTATTATGCACCAAAACTTCAAAATTGTGATAGAAAGCTGAAATTTGGCACAAAGATTGCTAATGGGTCCTAATTGAAGAATATGAACTAAAATTTGAAAAATTTTGTCTGGAGGGACCCTATTGCATTACCCATACCGATTTTTCAAAATCAACCACTTAAACTGAAATTTTGCATAGAGGTTGCTACTGGCTCCTAAAGGAAGAATACAAAGTGAAATTGGTAAATTTGTACGTGGAATGACCCTATAACCCTATAACCCATACCGATTTTCAGAAATTGTCTTAAAACGATGAGATTCGGTACAATGATACTTCATGGCGTCTCATGAAAGAATATGAAATTAAAAGTGAACAAAGTGTAACCAGAGTGACCCTAACCGGTGACCCATACTGGTTTTTATATGTTGCTATTTTCAGCTGAAATTTGGTATGGAGGCCAAAAATGACTTATGCGTAGAAAATGAAACTTCAAAAGTTCAAAAGAAAGAATTGAACCCCACTGGTTCACGGGGAAGGATTTCTAAATACTATTTAAAAATTGTGTGCCAAATATAATACAAAATATTTTACAAAATTCGGACAAAAATTTAAAAGAGGACTGTGTCCCTGACTCGGGCTATATCAAGTCTGCACTGTAGGTTTTTTAAATAAAGTTGTTACCGCTTTGTACTAAAATTATACAGGGTAGTAAAAATTTGATACCAGTATTGTAAAACTTTAATACCGGGTTATTATTAGATTAGATGGTATTATTTATCAATACCATGTTAGTAGAGTCATGTATTAATACCGCCTGGTAGTATTTTAATACAGCATTTCTAAGAGTGTACATACATAAATACATATGTATCTAGATATATGTGTAAATATGCATCCATTCTTAGAAAACTGGTATAAAATTGCTACCGCTGGAAGTAAATAAATAAGCACAGGTTTTAATGGCTCCCCATTTAATTCCAGATTTTGGCCAAGATTGCTACCTTTCTCCCCAAATCCGACCTCCTCTCCTGCACCCTGATCAACTCCACGTGGGAAACGGAAGTCCGGAAACTTCTCTTCGATAACGTCAGGATTGTCCTCACTCCAGAAAAGATCTTTTCCCACAAAAAAATCGTTCCTAGTCCCCCCTTCCGAGGAAGCAGTATTGGGTTCTTCTCATTCGCCTCACATCTTTCGGGGCACGGCCCCTGTGCAAACTATGTCCGCAATCACGGCGCCATAGTCAAAACCATAACGACAAGTTTCTTCATAAAAGCAGAAGCCTTCACACTCCCCAAAGATTTGGAACTGGTCGCAAAATCCTTCCCAAACGCGACCACGCTCGAGCTCGACGTAAATTTCTGGTCGCTTGGTTCAACTTACGAATCATTGATCTTCCCCCCACCAAAAAGATATTCCTTCTCGAAAGTAAAGACGCTAGAAATCGCGACGAGTACACGAATTCATAACCTTCTCGGGAACGACAATCTTACATATTGCACCCAACTTGGCGCCATCTTTGCAAAAATAATCCCCCGTTTGGTCCCCCTCCTTCCAAATGTGGAGGCCCTCTCGTTCTTCAACTCTGCTCAGACAGTAGTGGAAAACTTTCTCGATTTATTCTCCGCCACGGTGACAACCTTGAAAATGTCCGGTGTAACAATAACGGCCCCCATGCAGCGACCAACCATATTAAATCTGACCCGTCTTGAGATAGGTTGTTATTATTTGGACAAGTCGAATTTTTCCCACGTGCTAAAGTTTGCCTCGGAAACGTTGCAACACGTTAAGTTCTCGGAGGTAGAAAATGTTCCCGTGAATGATAAATATTCCACCCGATACGCCATAGTTTTTCCGGTCATGCGGAAATTAAGAGTTTTTGAACTTGTCCAAAATAAGTTTACGGATCGAAGTGCGTATAAAAATTCGCTGGTGAGGCCGAAGCTAATATTGCGGTGGGAAGGGGGTAGGGGTCATTCTGGGACGAGGTTGGTGTACCAAGATCAGTTCCCTGTTCTGGAAACGGTCAGGATATCGAGGAATGAAACGCACCACTTATTACGAAATCGTGGGATTGAGGACAGATTGACGGAGCAGGAATATTTTGAGGCGAGCGTGACATTTTTGTATGAAACTTTTCTACGCGAGGGTAATTCGCGGAGTGAGAGTGTGAAACGGTTGGATGTCCCGTTCCCGCCAGAAGCTAAGTTTAGGTTGGAGAAATGTGAGGGCGGGAATGGGGAATGTTACGAGTGGAGGGATTCATCCGAATTTTGGGACAGGGCGGTAGAAATGTTTCCCAATTTGGTGAAATATGCAGCCATTGGGGAAAGTAGGGAGAGGATGAGGGCGGCCGGGGTGAAGGAGTGGGTCAAATTAGGGGAGAAGTTGGGCTTTGTGAGGGGGAAGGAACGGAAAGGAAGCCGGATTTGAATTTAGGTGACCAGGTTAATCTCGAGGTTCCGGAACGTGTTAAGTTTAGGGATTAGGAGAAGAAGAAGATGGGGTGATTGTAATGGGTTTATGCAAATATGTAGCCGGGCCAATTTGACATGGTGTCGAAGGATTTTTTTAGGATTAGTTGAATGACAATATTTCCTACAATAAAACAACATTGTATTATTGTCATTTGATTTGACAATAGTAAACTACTTACTAGGTACATAGAATTAGGGTTGATAAATGACATTTCTAGAGGAGTAATTCCTTGGGGACGTTCATAAATTACGAAACACAATAATCACCTAGATGTGATTATTGTGAACGTCCCCTATTCCTAATTAATTAATATGCCCACTTAAGTATGCAGGTAATGTATTTATATATGTAGTCTGTTGAGCGGGTAGGAAAGAGCAACTTCATATACTCGTACTGCTCTCAAATAATGTCGCTTTTGATTTCTTTCAGAATTATGAATGTATGTACGTATCTCGTTTATCTAAATAAATTCGAAAAACTGTAAATACACAGGTCGATTTAACGATTAATTACTATTCCTTATCAGATCATCGTATTATAAAAATTACCAAATTTTTTCAGAGAATTGTCATATCCTTCGATAGCTTACTTAATTGTCATAGTTTAGGCGAAGGTTCTTGTTTTTTGCTGCATTTATTATTCGTCAAATCTTGAGAAATGTACACTGTTAAAAATTTAGCATGGTCACGCAGGTATAGATTTCTCGGTATTAAATTTGCTTTCATTCGAATTCAAATTATACGGGTATGTTTATAATAATTTGCTATCTGTATAGTTAGGCACGTTGCCACACGGGATTACATTTTTAGAAAACCAGTATTACAATACCACCGAGAGGTAATCATGTACATACATATGACTCTACCGAAGTGGTAGTGACAACGTACGTGCATTCCGCTTGGTAAATGTTAATTTAGTACTGGATTTCTAAGAGTGTATGTATATAAATATGCACATACCAAATTATTCTTTATTAAGTAGCTTCAGCTACTTTATGTGAAGACTTTGTCTGTCTGTCTGTCCGTCTGTCCGTCTGTCTGTCTGTCCGTCTGTCTGTCAGCAGGATAACGGGAGAACGGATAAAGATAATCGAAATCGGTTTTCGCCATCATACATAATACCCCAGGGGGAGGATCCTATCAACTTTTGGGTGCAACCGGACCACACCCCCGGTCGCCAGGGGGTGTGGTCGGGGCAAAATGAGATTTTTAGTGCAATTGAATCTATGGATGAAATGGAGTGAAATTTTGAGTTCCCCCGTTGTGCCACACCCCCCGGGCGCCAGGGGGTGTGGTCGGGGCAAAATGAGATTTTTGAAAAAATTGAATGTATAGATGAAATACAGTAAAATCAAGTGTTCCCGCGATGTCGTGGGAGTGCTTGGAGTGAAGTAGTCTGAAGCTACTTCCGTATGCGCGTTTGCGACGGTTTATTTGCATACTAAATTTCCATAAACATTTGTCTATCTAAAGATTAGCATTTATTTATGCGAATATAGCCTTGGCCTTGGTATGCATTTTCGCATAAAATATTCTCGACGAGTTTAAAAAAGCATCGTTCATCCACTAATTTCTTTCCAGTCGGCCCTGGCCTCTAAAATCTTCAGCATGTTTACCGACGCGTTTTTTGAAAAGTTCGGAAACACTATCAAAACCGGAAACATTTTCGGTTACCCGTTCCTTTGGAATGGGAAAACTCGACGGTTACAATTTTCTCCGAAGCATTCCGCCAATGCAGCCATGGTTTTAATTTGTTTCGTTATAATAGCAATTTTCGTTTTTAGCCAAACAATTAAGTGCAAAATTATGAGAGACGTGACCAACTTAAATTTTTTGTTGCTCTGTGTCTACGCATCAATCGGTGAAAATCTTGCCGTCGTGTTTTTGACGGTGAAAGGTCATGATTTCGCTTGTTGGATAAACGCTCTATTTCAGTATGGGATGAAGTTCAATGGTAAATATTTTAGGCTTATTTAACCCAAAAATTACTAAAACATGAAGGTTCCAAAATTGTAGGCGATTCGCAAATTATGATTTCACGAAATCTTCACAAGCAGTTCGTTTATCCAATTTCAATTTGATTTCCATGGATTATTTGCAACTTGTAAAGGAAATCGAAATGTTGAGTTTGTGAAATAATTGTACCATATGAAAATGTGCCAGAATGTTGAGTAAATTTGCGAACTATTTAGATATCCCATAGTTTTTCTTCAATTTTTTTTCTGAAATCTCTCAAATTTTGCAAAAATTCTCAAGCAATATTTCTACCTACTACTCGTTCAGAATTAATATGCAATAAACTCCTCAGAATTTTTTAAAAGGTCAAATGGCCTAAGTTGCTGATTACTATTGACAATTATTTAATTATTCTACTTTCTAAACTAAAATCAGTCGAAAGCTGGAAAATAATGAAATTTAAACAAATTTAAGTCATGGAAAAAAATTCTCAGCCAAATAACCTTTCAGGTTTTTTAGTGCATATTAATTTTGAATGAACAGTTAGCATTCTCAATTAAGATATCTCAATAGAGTGCCATGAGTATATAATTAAATATTTCAGCAAAATGGCGCCCAAACCCGACATCCGAGGAAGTCGCTAGTTTCAATCAAAAATGGATTCTGTTCGTTAATTGTGTCAATCTCATGCTTAATTTGATACCTTTTAGTATCCTTTTCCACATATGCTTCCTTCCCCGACACCCCGCTCACATTCCCAACATATTCCCGCCGGAAACATTCATTTATCGGGTCGGCTACTTGGTCTACATTCCTTCCATCGCCTACTCCCTTTTTCATTTGGTGGCAATCTTTAAATCAATGTTTTTCAGTTTTGCCGCCCTTACCATTTTCCTGATCCCTTTGGTAAAATCCAGCTTGCGCATCTCTCGCGGTCAAAAGTCGGTTAAGACAAAGTATCAATGTGCCCCTGACTTCATCAGGCACCCTGAAAACGTGTCAGTTACTTACCGAGCTTTACAACTTCTCACGAAACAAATGTCCCTCTCAGTGGGACCGTTTACTCCAATTACGCAGGCTCTTATGGGGCAAATTGCAATTACGGCGAGATATATTTTTACCGTGCAATTGGACTCGATGGATGCGCAAACTTTCGTCGGGATTTTAGGCAGCGTTCCAATCAATATTGTTTCCTGGGCGGGGTTTCTTTCATACGCGGGAGAAATGCAGAGAAGCTCGGCAGGATGTGTGCGGTCGTGGAAACATGGAGGTGGGGACAGAATTTGGAGTAAATTGGAGGTAAAGTACATGGCGAAATTTAGTAAAAGCTCGAAACCCCTGTTTTTTGGGTATCCTGGAATGATGACAATTACGCATAAAACTGCGGTCAAATATGTACAAGGAATAGTTCGAGGAGTGTTTAGGACCGTGTTAACTTTAAAGAAATGAACAAGATTGTTGGAAAGCGAAAAATGATGATAAAATTGTTGTAACTACCGTAATTAATTAGTTGGAATATGATAAGAATTACTGGACATATGTATATATATGAATGCCGCTCGGTATTATATTAATATTGGATTTCTAGAAATGCATATGTATATACTGTCGAATTTTTATAGCCGGTCACCTCATTTGCATATTTTGACGCATTCACGAGAGACGTAGAGTTTATTCAAAATGGAAATTCCGCATCGCCGAAAATGGGCATAGTGAGATTTATGCAAATGAGGTGACACGCCTAATACGAGGATAGTATTTAAGTATTTACCTACTAATTTGGTTGCAAACATTTGCGTGTATATTTATGCGTAAATATGTAGCTACAGCACTGTTAAATTTCAATCATAACCATGTCACAATTTTTAGTCGCATATTTTTCTTAAATGGAACGATCCAGAACAAATAACGTGACCAATTAAAAAAATAGAACTGTTACTTATTACTCTTTAAGCCGGCCAGCATCTTAACTAAATTCCACTATGACTACGAATTGAACCACCATAAAAATCCCATAAAGTTTCACAAGGTATCCATGCACAAATTAGGCAAATGGTCATGTGTATTTATGTAAGAAAGGTAACCCATCAGTCAAATGGAAAAGGACGTAAAACGATTTTCCAACAAAATTTCTAATCTATTAATATGTTGTTTAAAAGGTTACGAATAGGTGGACTCAAAATAAAAATGATCCCTTAAGAATATGGAGACGAGGTTGTATGTACATACCAGAATTATGCAGAATTTAACACGGCAACACATACATTAAAAGTTTATGTACGCTGCATGGTGTTAAGAAAAATCCAAAAGCTTGGGTCGGTCGTGTATTTGTTAATTCTAGCTAAACCATAACATTCGTATGCAAATGATTGATAGTTATTTTTATCCAAATAAAAGGAAATTATAAACCATTTTGTGCATGCATCATCGAATGCTTTAAAAAATGCAACCTTCTTAACAAAATACGACCCTTGCCTGGTTCACCTCTCCATTCACTCGTATACATAGCTTCATATTGGAAGAAAGTGTACGGTCAAAGTTCCCCAACATCTATAAGGTTAATTTCCCCAATTTCTGTCCCATTCCACCCCCAGTTCGATAATGGACTATAAAGGCATGTCGAAGGGTAAGATTTGCCTACACAAAATCGTGAATTAACAGATTTGAAATTTGAATTTCTTTTCAGCGCATTTTAAATTTCTCTTGGTTAAATTGTATACTTAGCCGATTTGGAGAAAGAAAAGCAACTCATTGAAGAAGAACGTGGAAAAATAGACCAAAGCTATAGAAATGCTAAGGCGAAACTAAATCTGAAGTATCAAAATCGCCGAAACCCATGGAATTCTAAATTTGAGCAAGTTGAGAAGGAACTGGAAGAACGTAAGCCCATGAAGTTATTTATTTATATATTTTCATACTCATGAATATTCGTGTAAAGTGAGTGATACGCTGATTTGATTTGAAAGCAAGATTATCCCAACCTTAATATTTTTAAGGGCTTCTATGGAGCTACATAGATATGAATACATACATATTAATAAATACATACTTAGCACACATGTACCTATACGGGGATTTTATTATTCTGACATTTAGGTGATAAATCCCAGTCCGAACTGGCCCCAAAGAAGCCTAAGATTGATGCCGATGCTCCCAATCCACACTGGTCCGGAACATTGAATTTATTGGCCAAAACCTATTCTCACCGATCCGAAAACAAAGTACCCTCTTCAATACCTTTGACATAGTTGCTCAACTTTGGAAAGTTTCATTCGAATTGATAAAGTGGTTATAACGTGGCGTATGCCTAAACTTGACCAATAACATTGGGCCAAATGGGAAAAACTTCAAGTTGAAAAGCCTGTCTAGTCCTGTGGTATTTCGAGGAACCAACAATATATTATTAAACCCTTATATCTCATCTACAAAAACAGTTGCCCCTTTTTGCCCCTTTTGCAAATGGGCGGAGAAATTTGAGTTTATTCAGAGGCAAATTGCGTGAGAAAAATTAATGGAGTGCTTCAATCATTGACATGTATGAAATTTGTGAGTACTCTAAATAACACAATCGCTTCGAAAGATCTTGCCCATTCCTTGGGGAAGGGTCCATGGTAAGTCAAACCCTTCCAAAAAATTTATTACCAAGGGGGGATTTTATGACGTGGGGGCCCCTTGAGGAGGGATGACGAAATTTTTAATTTTGGCCCTGTTTTCTTTGTTAATGAGGTCAGAGGGAAGAAATACTTCATAAAACTATAGAATATTGTCATTTTATAAAAATACATCCTCAAATGTATCGAAACAAAAATTTCCAATTTTCATTTTGACGACACCCCCTGGCAGTGGGTGTGTCGATAATGTCCCAATGATAGACAAAATTTTATAGAGCTTGATGAGACCTTCCAAATGATACCCCACTTGCTGGGGTAACGTGAGAAAACAATTATTTGCCTTTGACCACACCCCCAAGGGGTGTGGCTTTCATTGAAAGTTGCATAACTTATACCCCTTGGAACTTCATATCTCGATTTCCGAAGACAGAATTCGAAAAAATTGACTTGTTCGAGAGTTATAGGTTTTGGCAAACAAATAAAGCAATCCGGACCAGTGTGCAATCCTATCATTCAACGGGGCGCATCCCCCACAGGTATGCAAATATATGTAGATATATAAGTATGTACACACATATGTACATACGTACGGTACGTCTAAGAGTGGAAAGTTTGGAGATTTTGCTCCTTTTGGCTTTAAACTTCAGGTGAATATGTAACTGAGGACACCGATTTTTCTTAGGTGAAGGAAAAGTAACCAAAAGGAGATCATGTTAAAAGATCACCATGGTTACGGCGAAGCCTAAGTATGCATTCAGCTGCAACTTTGAAAAGGTCGCACTGAGATGTAGCCCAAACCGTTCGTTGCATGGAAAACATGTTGAAACAAAAAAACCAGAGAATTCTGTTTTACAGATACGTTTTTTTTATTTTTTCCGAAATTTTAATTCCTTAAGGTAGAAAGTCCGATGCCTAAAGTTTCAAATCCATTTCTTGGCATCAAGGAAGTGTTTCCGACCGGGGGCTTGCCATTTTTATTATTCTCCTGGATAATACGCAAATTTTAAGCCTTTGTTGGACTTAATCGGATGAAAACTCACGGAATTAGAGCTTTTTGAAATATTTCCATTAAGCAACCTATTTACGTATGTATATTTACGTGTTAGGTTACTGGTTGCTAACGTGTGCGAAAAATGTAAGGTGTGTTTAGCATATTTGGCTGAAACAATTAGCAGCGATCAAATTGCATGAAATACAAATATTAACGCATGCATACCCTGGGAGACTAATTTAGTAGGGCCGCATACACACCCACTGCGGGACTAATTTGGTATACCAAGCGTCCACTGGGGGATTAAATAAGTATACCAAACGTCCACACCCACTGGGGTATTACTTTAGTATACCACGCATCCACCCACAGGAGAATTATCAACTTTTAAGATTTGATAATTGCATATTATTTTATGCATTTAAGTTCATAAATCACTAAAAATAATTAAATAAATAAATTTTAAAAAACAAACTTAGGTGAAGGACGCGCTTAAAATATTAAAACAAGAAGCATTACAAAATGTCATAATATCGTTTAATATTTATTAACCTTTACTTCACCGTGGGCCCAACTAATACAGGAGAAAAGCTATACTTTCAGGCATTTGGAACAATTATTCGAAATACGTAGTATTTGTATATTAAGCTTGCAAGATGTGATTGGTTATCTTTCAATAAATCGCGACACCTGTTATAGAGGAAATTTGTTCATGTTCTGGCATATTTTAGTAACTCTCCCTGTAACGGTGCACTTATTTGTTAATCAAGTCGTTAGTTTAGTTACATTTATTGTTAATTATTATGAAAAAGTTGGGCCCACTGTGAAGTAAAAGTTAATAAATATTAAACGATATTATGACATTTTGTAATGCTTCTTGTTTTAATATTTTAAGCGCGTCCTTCACCTAAGTTTGTTTTTTAAAATTTATTTATTGGATTTTTCTCTTACTGAAGAGACCACTGAACGTCCAGCGACGATGTCATCATTTTAAAAAGTTTTTTCTAATGGTGTTAAATTTGGTTAAAATTGTATTTAACCAGACTTAATTCTTTGGACGATGATTTCATGAAATCGATTGCCATGCAAAACTTTTCACTCTTACAAGGGAACATACCGAGGTGTCCAACGAGTCGTGGGTCGACACCTATACCAAAATGACCACACTGCATGACTTATTCAGCAATCTGTAGGAATTTTCGTGCAAATTTCACTTTTCGTCAAGTTGTGACGATATATCGTCACAACTTGACGAAAAGTGAATTTTACACGGAAATTCCTTCAGTTCGTTGAATAAGTCATTAATTGTGGTTATTTGGGTATAGGTGTCGACCCACGACTCGTTGGACACCTCGGTATGTTGCTTTGGTAGACCGTTATGACCAATTTTTGTGTCCTGGTTTTAATGAACACTCTTGTCCACCTCAACAGGGGGTGAAAGTGAGGAGAGGACTGCCATTTCTTCCAGTAGCAAAGCTGAAATTAGCTTATCAGGATCGAGTTTGGGTCCCGGAAGCAGCGTAACATTGTCACAGCGTGGCATTTCTAATGTCAATTTCAGGTTGAACTAATTCATTAATTAAAATTTTTATTTCTGACCACAATAAAGTTTGTAAGGCATGAAAATGTACCACGGTGAAGGTTGGTAAATGTGTCTAGGGTGAAGGTGTTAGCTGATTTACATGGGAATGTGCAGAAATGTGTATTTAAATTTTTATTGCTGCAATAATTTGCATGTGTTGTCAATTTATAAAGTGCATGCTACACATTAATATCCAATATCATAGCTTTGTCAATGTTTACATACCCCAGGTTTAGCGTCGCCACAACATCTGTGATGGGATAAATAGGTATCAACGCTTTTATTTTCTCCGTAAACCACATCCATGCGTATACCATGCTCATTCTCATGGATACAATATTTATGAAAATTAAACTCCATTTCACGCTATCTGAGTTAATCACATTGAGTGCATTAGCCAAATTATTTTATTGTTTGACAACAGTTATTTTTATTTTGCCGTTTAAATTATTCAATTTCGTATGATTTTTAAGCCAAAATAAAAATAACTGGTGTCAAATAATAAAATAGTTTGGCTAATGCACTCAATGTGATGAACTCAGATAGCGTGAAACGGAGTTTAACAATGAAACTTCTCCATGCATATAAAGCACGCTCGTCAAGTCCGGTACGAGTGGTACGGAGGAGTCCACCCCGTCTTCGTGGGATTTTAGTAAGGGGACCGGTTTGAAAGACCCATCCCCACCGGAACCAGAAAAAAAGGTGACTCTTTCTCCAAAACCATCGCCCAGCCTGGACACACCCCCTGACATGGAACTCGTAGTTCAGGGTGGTGAAGATTTACCAAAGTGGGGGGATGATGAGCCAAAGCAATGATTGAGAACTTGAATGCAAAGGAATAAGCATGTATAGCATATCTTATCTTGCATACATTTTTTTTAAACAATCCTTAATTCCATATTTTACGGCGTGGCAAAGTGTATCAAATTTTCAAGGGGTCGCGTTTCATATATAGTATTAAATTTGGGTACGTCTTTTCATTAAAATGTTTTAGAATTAAGTAATAAGAAGAGTCATGAAAAATGAGAAACAAATCTCATTTTGCTAATTCACGAGGAGGAGATAGTCTCAGTTTCCCAGCCAGCTGAACTGCGGGACTCGTATTGTGTAAATAAATATAAATTGCTGTATTTTGTATGTTGTTCCACATTTTTCATTCTGCATTAAATAATCTAATTTAAATTATTACATTTAATTAACGAAATACGATAAGCATTCTCTTCCCATCGATAGTGACGAATTATTAGGTAAATAAGAAAACAGTTAATAAATTCATCCTCAATTTATGAACAAAAACTCAAAATTCTTGAAATGATATGAATATCTTACCGTTTTTAATTATTATTTTAAATTACAGTGATAAAATGGCTCAATTAAACTGTCTCCTCTGCCTGGACAACGTTGAAGGGGAACATCTTGCACTAAATTATTTAAATTCGACCCAAATTATTCACCTGTACGACCTCCTCATTCCGAAAGATCGGAATTCTCGTCAAGATCTCATAGCTAATTGTCCCTCAGAAAACAATTATGGATTCACTTTGTGTCAGAATTGTTCCTTTGAAACGACACAGATTGATCAAATTAAAGAACAAATATCCCAATTGGAAGACGACGTAAGACTGAAAGTTGACGAAATCCGAAGGAAAATGGTGCATTGTCCTGTCGAGAAAGAATTGAGTCCAGGGTTGGGTAAAATTCGGGCATGTTTTCTCCCCTGCTTATCGTCAGGTTGGTCTAATTAATGAGGGTATTCATTCTTCGTATCGTAAAATGATTACGACGGTTACGAGATTTTCTCGTCAAAAATTACCTTGAGATTTTTACAAAACTTGACCTCTTATTTTTTCTTCGTAAGCTATTTTACGATACTTAGGATACGAAGACAATTGTGAGTAGTGAATAATCTGAATCACAATTTGTACAACTATTAATGGCTTTATTTGACTTTTTAAAGACGGTGGAAGTGATTCTGGTGACATCCAAGGTGACGATTTGCAAGTCAAAGTAGAACCAGAAGAGGATTACGATTACGAAGATAAGCATTTCCTTGGAGACGATAATAAAGTTGACATCTCGTCACCTCCCGTTAATTACAATGAAGACGATCCACATCTTACAGATTTTTCCCATTCTTCTTCTGACGAGGAATCGTCTTCTTTCCTAATAACGCCGGATAATATTAAAGCCATGAAAAAGAAAAAGTAACAGGCAAAAAAAATTAACGAAACTCAAAATTCAAAATTAATTTATATTCCATTCTTCCAGCAAAAATACGCTTTGGGAACAAAAATCTATGTCAAGAGTCTCCACAAAAATTAAAACCATTAAAAAATCCAATATACCAACCTCACAGCGAATAACTCGTTCATCTGCATCTCAAAATAGAGAAGCGAAACCCGCACAAATTTCCGAGGAAACAAATTCCTCCGAAGATATCAAACCTTCAAAGACAGAGCTTGACGACGAATCATCATCCACTCCTAAAAAAATAAAGGGAGAGAAGAAACCACTGAAAAAATATGGAAAGAAAAAACTTCCCAGATTTCCGTGCAGCCTTTGTTCCAAAATATGTTACGAGCACTGCACCCTTGTCACCCATATGATGACTAGACATGAAACGAAGGACAAGTCTCATTTTTGCAGCAAGTGTAACAAGGGCTTCACTGCCGAGGCGAATCTCCAAAGACATTTCGACCTCCATGCATTTGACAACACCAAACCATTAGCTTGTTCTGTTTGTGATGCAAGATTTTCAGATCAGGAACGTCTCGATAGGCACACGCTCACGCATGGGAGAAAATATTGGTGCGACCGGTGTGGAGCAGAGTATAATTCGAAGGAGAGGTTTGACAGGTGATTAAAACATGTACAGATATGCGCAAATCCAAATGTTGCAAATTATGGCTGAGTATTTATTATGTGAATGCGATTTGACCAAAACTACAGAGGTATTCGAAAAATTTGAAAATTTTGTAGATTGTGTAATCAAGTTACATTAGTTCCGCAAAACGCTCAAATAGTTTCAAGTTTACACAGCAAAATATGTGTCATTTAAAAAATTCGTATTATTTTCATTATTAATTATTTTTCCAGTCATGTTCGCACCCACACGGGAGAGCGTCCCTATAAATGTGACCAATGCCCCGAAGCCTTCATCGACTACAACGGCAAAAAAAGACACATCGATCTCGTCCACAGTGGGACTGCTCGGGAAAGTTGTGATTGTCCCATTTGTGGAAAGAAAATCTTGACATCATCTCTCAAATCGCATATGGAATTAGTTCACGAAAACAAGAAGAACTACAGTTGTGACGATTGTGGGGAAAAATTCAAGATGAAAGACACTTTAGCCGCCCACCGGGTCAAAGAGCACAATGCGGATAGCATAGTTTGTGAGGAATGGTATGCAAATGCTAGTGTGTACCTATTTAAAGTAAAAGGTGTTTAAAAAACTTTCCATTCGATTCTAGCGGTGGAACATTTACTACACGGAGAGGTTTGAATCGCCATAAATCCAACCATAATATGGAACTTAAATACACCTGTAACGTAAGAAATATTAAATATATTGAGGCAGTTCACGCAGTCATTGGTATAACTTTGTAAAGTCCCTAAATTTGGGGAAAATAATTTAAGTACAAAGTTTTTCAAAAGAAAAAGACCCCCTTGGTCTGAACTGAATAAACTTACAAAAACTTGTGAACTTGAAAACTGGATAATTTTCAAAATTTACAATGTTACGAAAATACTGTGTCAATTGCCTCGTTAATTTATTAATTGACGCAAACTTTACAACTTGCCATAGCTTCAAATAGCAAGTTTTATAAAACAAATATTACTAAATTTTAATAAATCATGTCGATTAATTTCCTCGCTTTTAAACTAGGCAATCATGTTTATAAATTATTTAATATCGCCCAATTCCTTAACTTCAAAACTTTCGAATTCTTACATGACTAGAACAGCTTACAAATGTTATGCATTTACCAAATTATTATCCTTTTTTCCAGACATGTGGTGCAAGATTCAGAGCCCAACATCAATTAACATATCACGTCCGCTCCCACGCCGTTGGACAAGAAGTCATTTGTCAACATTGCAGTAAAGCATTCAAACATGCGCCCCATTTAGTGGAACACATAAAACGAATCCACACACGGGATTATGTCCCGAAAACTCCGTTTGAATGCAACCACTGTAAGAAACGGTTTGCGTCCAAGAAAGACCGGGACTGTCATATTCGTCAACATCACACGGGAGAGCGGCCCTTCGTCTGCCACCTGTGTGGCAAAGGATACGCCGTCGAGACCACGCTGACCCTGCACTTGAAGGGTGTTCATCAAGTTGATGTTCAATGGAAGAGAGCAACTGGGTGGAAAAAGTCGAAACGCGATGATTTTGTTGGGGCCAAAGAGTCAGAAGAAACTTAAGACTAGTACATTATACATATTTATACATATGATTCAGCAGTCATGGTACTGGTGTTATTAATTTATACCTGGAATAATTAAAGAGATGTGAACTAGACTTGGGTTATTAAAATCGTGCACATTTTTTAGTTTAGTCTAATTCCGTCGAAACTTAATTTTTGGTTTGTACTTTCCTACTTTCGAATCTCTATTTCGATATCATGCATTCCTGTAAATGGTCAGATGACCGTGGAGTTGATGCCAAAGGGCGTGTTGAATTAAGTAAAAGTAATGAGAAGATTCATGAAAAATATGAGAAGTTGAGGCAAAATGAGTAGTGTTGCCGGTGAGGTGAGCTAAACTCACCTCAACTCACGTGAGCTGAGTTATGAGGTGAGCTGAGCTTGCCTTAAATGAGTTGAGGTGAGTTGAGCTCATGAGCTAAACAAGCTGAGGTGAGTTGAGGTGAGGTGAGCTGAACTCACAAGCCAGCTCATTTAGCCAGAATCAGGTTTCCCATACATGGGGACGAGAATAAATGCGCGATTCTCTTCCACTCGTACATATGTAAGTAGACAACCTGATGCCTGATTTAGCACGTCGCATCTTTGCTCCTGTCTAATTAATTACCAATTTTTTTTTACACAATCAAGACCTTAGCCCCGATAAGAATTTCTTATTGCCGAAATTTTTATAAAAGTCAACTTTATTATAAATGTGATTGCTAACCAGGCAAATAAAGGTCGTGAATATTTTTGTAATCCATGGTCAGAGTGTCAATAATTGTGCATGTCGCAAATTTCTACTTCTTTTTGGTAGTAAATTAATAGTATTAATTAAATCTTACCATTCGTAGGTGTTTTTTTAAGTTTTTAAATAGGTCACACAGCTTTAAAGTTCACGATCAGGTTGCAAATAATCCGACACTGACAATTTTTTTTATGTTCAAGTAATAAATAGTAGAAAACAATTTTAAACTGCGAGCAGATTATTGTATAAGGGCCCGTTCATATATTACGTCATCAAAAAAATAGGATTTTCAGACCCCCCCCCCTACCCCCTTTAACATGGGCAAGATAGGCACGATATCATTGGTGGTCAGACCCCTTCCCCCCCCTCTCTTGTTGACGTAATATATGAACGGGCCCTAATGGTATGTGATCTTTTGTATAGAGAATACAATTATATTTCAATGCAAATCCAGCTAATAAATTTATACAATTTAAATCTGTATATATTTTAGTATTTAGCTGCGTGCTCAGAAGCAACAAATGAGCTCAACTCGCCTAAGCTCACCTCAACTCATTTAAAGTGAGGTGAGTTGAGCTGAGTTTTTGTAAACAAGCCAGCTCAACTCACTTAACTCATTTAAAGTGAGGTGAGCTCAGCTTGCCTGAAAACTCACCTCGCCTCAGCTTGTGGCAACACTAAAAATGAGAAACGAATCTCATTTTACTCATTCACAATTTGTGATTCACAATTCACGAGAAAATCTCACTTTCCCAGCCAGCTGAACTGCGGGACTCGTATTATGTAAATAAATACAAAATATTTTGTTACACATCACACATTTTTCACTCGGCATCAAATAATTTGATTTAAATGTCATTTAAATAACGAAATACCATAAACACTCTCTTCCCGTTGATGGTGGACGAATTAATAGGTAAATGAGACAATTGCACATCAATTCTTTCTTATTTTATGAACCAAAACGCAAAATTAATAAAATTCCAATTTTTAACTTACTATTTTAAATTACAGCGATACAATGGCTAAATTAAACTGCCTCCTCTGCCTCGACAACGGTGAAGGGGAACATTTTACCCTAAATTATTTAAATTCGACCCAAATTATTCACCTGTACGACCTCCTCGTTCCGAAAGATCGCAATTCTCGTCAAGATCTCATAGCTAATTGTCCCTCAGAAGAAAATTATGGATTCACGTTGTGTCAGAATTGTTCCTTTGAAACGACGCAAGTTGAACAAATTAGAGAACAAATATCACAATTGGAAGAAGACGTAAGACTGAAAGTTGTGGAAATACGAAGCAAAATGGTGCATTGTCCTGACGTAAAAGAACTGAGTCCAGGGCTGAGTCAAGTTCGGACATGCTTTCTCACTTGCTTATCATCAGGTTGGTCGGTTTTACAGTTAAGTATAATTTTTGTACAATTGTTAACGGGTTTCTTTATTCGTAAAGACGGCGGTCATGGTGACATCCAAGATGACGATTTCCAAGTCAAAATAGAACCGAACAAAG